AAAGGGAAGGGAAATAAACTTTAAGTAAAACTGAAAGAAGTTAGGTCCTAAAGTAGTCGATTTTGCGTAGAATGCTCCATAAGAATTATTTTCAAATATTTAACAAAATATGTGCAGAATACTTTGATAATAGAATTTATAATATAATTTTTTCATTGCAAAAAGATACTTCACAAATGTATGATTTTAATCGATTCTACTCGTAAAAAAAAATTTTTTTTAAAAAAGTCCATAAAGGGTCAAAAATCTTAAGTCAATTTTCAAAATGACATTTTGAAAAAATTTTATACTGCTTGGAAACTGGTTTTTTCCTGTGTGACTAAGAAAAAAGTTCTCAAGATTTATCAATCAATCCAGACTCTGCATATATCGAAGCATTCTCGATTATTTATTGGATGTTCGAAAAATGTTCACAATAGTATAACATTTTGACGTTACATGCTGTGAATATTGTTCGAACTTTTTGTTTAAGTGGGCTATTATTAATTTAATACATTTGTATCAAACAGCATTATAAAAAAGATATTTGTTTAATTCAAAAACATTTATAAAATAAAATTAGAAATTTCAGATGAAAACGTAAAGAGGAACAGTTTCGCAAGTATTACATCGATCAAAATCAATAGCTGAAGACAACGCTTGAATAAAATGTAAATTTTACGTGGCTTCAGGTCGCCGCATCCATGATTTGACTCTATTAAGAATCTCGAAGGAGCACGTGACTAACCTGGGAGAAGAAATCACCCTGTGGCCCGCCTTCGGGTCGAAGACGGACAGGGCGAGCTTCAGGCAATCTGGTTGGAGGCTATCCAAGAATAGTAACATTAGGATTTGCCCAGTAACGTGGACCAGAGCCTGGATAAAGCTATCAGAAAGAAGACGTGAGGGTAGTAACCTGGAGGAACTTTTCATAACATTAGTGGGGCCAGTCAAGGCGGCCTCTCAGACTGTAATATCGGGCTGGATTCGCTCGGTGTTAAAGGACGCAGGCATCGATGCGTCACCAGGTAGCATCCGAGCTGCAGTTGCATCCAGAGGGTGGATCGATGATATGCCGGTGCAGGAGATATTAGACAGAGGCAACTGGAAGTGTTCGGAGACATTCGCAAGACACTACTGCAGGCAGGTTACAAGGGAGGAAGAAACACCAGCGATCTCACTGGCGAGCAATTTCAGGCCTACCTAGGCGAGTAGAGAGAGAGAGAGTGCAAGGCGGAACTGATTTCTGGTATTGAAACTTATCTAAACTTTATTTATTTTTGTTATCAATTCATAACTTAGATTTAGGAAACATTAACCTAAAAGGAAATATACTATTAAAACATTATAACCTTATTGTAGAGTGAGACTCTAATAAACTAGCACACAACGAATCCCCTGGCTCTTCCTTAAAGCCTAGACCATTAGCTAGAAATAAGTAACTATAATTAAGTTAATTTCAGCATCACATAGCATTGAGGTGATCACCAGCAGAAAACAAACAGGTCTCTCATAGGGATGCCGTGTAATCGGCACGGAGGAATGTAATATAAGTGTTTTGAACTACAACAAAACACGTATTATATTCCGTGGCCGATACACGGCATCCCTATGAGAGAAGCTGTTGTGTATTGGCCCCAAAGTCGTCCTACTTACGTGCCCTCTGCTGGAGTTTTGCTGTAGTTCATCTCCCCTCTTGCTCTTCCCCTCCCGTGATCACCTACAAGCGCGGGCTTGCCCGCGTCTCTCGTCATAGCAGCTCTCATCCAGTAAGCATTTCACCGGGATGCCGTGTATCGGCCACGGAGTATAATACGTGTTTTGTTGTAGTTCAAAACACTTATATTACATTCCTCCGTGCCGATTACACGGCATCCCTATGAGAGACCTGTTTGTTTTCTGCTGGTGATCACCTCAATGCTATGTGATGCTGAAATTAACTTAATTATAGTTACTTATTTCTAGCTAATGGTCTAGGCTTTAAGGAAGAGCCAGGGGATTCGTTGTGTGCTAGTTTATTAGAGTCTCACTCTACAATAAGGTTATAATGTTTTAATAGTATATTTCCTTTTAGGTTAATGTTTCCTAAATCTAAGTTATGAATTGATAACAAAAATAAATAAAGTTTAGATAAGTTTCAATACCAGAAATCAGTTCCGCCTTGCACTCTCTCTCTCTCTACTCGCCTAGGTAGGCCTGAAATTGCTCGCCAGTGAGATCGCTGGTGTTTCTTCCTCCCTTGTAACCTGCCTGCAGTAGTGTCTTGCGAATGTCTCCGAACACTTCCAGTTGCCTCTGTCTAATATCTCCTGCACCGGCATATCATCGATCCACCCTCTGGATGCAACTGCAGCTCGGATGCTACCTGGTGACGCATCGATGCCTGCGTCCTTTAACACCGAGCGAATCCAGCCCGATATTACAGTCTGAGAGGCCGCCTTGACTGGCCCCACTAATGTTATGAAAAGTTCCTCCAGGTTACTACCCTCACGTCTTCTTTCTGATAGCTTTATTCAGGCTCTGGTCCACGTTACTGGGCAAACCCTAATGTTACTATTCTTGGATAGCCTCCAACCAGATTGCCTGAAGCTCGCCCTGTCCGTCTTCGACCCGAAGGCGGGCCACAGGGTGATTTCTTCTCCCAGGTTAGTCACGTGCTCCTTCGAGATTCTTAATAGAGTCAAATCATGGATGCGGCGACCTGAAGCCAATAATAAAATGGTCGCTGTTCTTCGTGCTACCTCAAACAAGGTTAACTCTGGAATTTCGGCGGTTAACCACTTGAACAGGACTCTGGTGTCCCATACTGACTCCTTTATCTCTCTAGGTCTAGCAATGGAGATGGCCTTTAAAGCCTGGCGAACCAGGAAATCTGATGAGAGGTCCGTGCTCTGCCCTCCTGAGCAAAATGTCGCAATTGCAGATTTGTGTACTAGGATCGTACTGTACGCTAGACCCTCCTCTAAGTGGAGACCTGCAAGAAATCTCGCTAGGTCCGGTCCTCTCGGAGAACCAGGGTCTAAGTTGTTCTTCTGGCACCAGGTGATCCATCTGTTGAGTGGTGCTCTGTATGTCGACAGTGTTGAAGTTCTCCAGCTAGATCTAATCAGATCTCTTTCCTGGGGCTTCCAGTCTTTGGTAGCTGACCTCCACACCCAATCCTCCACACCTGCAGAGTAAGCTGCTCCACCTGTGGAGGTGGGTTGCCCGTTGTCAGGTCTATCAGTACCCTCTCTAGATTCTTGATCGTTATAGGAGGTTCTACACTCCTGCTGGCTAGGTCCGATAGCCAGAAAGTCCTCTCCCACCTGGGAGCTACTAGTAGGAACTGGCCCTGGCACTTGTTCAGGTGCGCTAGTACCCGTGGAATTAAGCTGGGCGAAGGAAACAGCCAAGCGAGGTTGAAGTCCCATACCTGACTGAAGGCATCTGTAAATGCTGTCGATCGATCTCTGCAGTCTAGCGATACGTAAGTTTTGATCACTGCGGACTCGGCCGAGGCAAATAGATCTATTTCTGGTGTTCCCCATTGTCTGAAGATCTCCTCGGTAGCCTCTGGTAAGAGGTGCCACTCGGGTAATGCCCTTTTTCTCGAGAGTCGGTCCGCGGTGCCGTTGTATCTTCCTGAAAGGTAATACGCTGACAGCATTATCTGGAGCTCGTCGACCAGGGTGAGAAGCTGGTACGTGAGGCTGTATAGCTCCAATGACCTGGTTCCCCCCTCCTTTCGGATGTAGGAAACCACCGTGCGATTGTCCGACTGCAGGAGGATGTGAGCTCCTCTCAGGCCTTGACCCTGCTGGGCCAGCGCCTGGTATATTGCTAGCATCTCCTTCTTGTTGGAGTGCCACTTTCTCGGGGACTTTGACCAATTTCCCGACATCAGCACTGCGTTCAGCTGGGCTCCCCAGCCCAGGTCAGATGCATCTGTAACCAGAAAATGTGTCACCTCGCTCTTGTGGAGCGGAGATGTTAAACTCGCGGCTTTCGCCCACCAAGCGAGTTCGTCCTGGATCTGGGAGCTTATCTGCCGTCTCTCGCGAGGTCGGCTCTGATTAAATCCCATCAAGAATCGTTGAAGGTAGCGGCAATGGAGCTGTCCTCTCGGAACAACGAAGTTCGCAAAGTTTAAGTGTCCCAGGAGGCACTGGGCCTCCTTTAAGGTACAACTTTGAGCTCTTTCTATGTCCGTCGTCAGCTTTATAATCTTTGCGACCTTCTTTTCTGGCAGACTCATCTCTTCCCTCTCGACATTCCATCTTATGCCGAGAAACTCTAAGTCCTGGCAAGGTCTTAGGAAGCTCTTGCTCCGGTTTATCTGCCAACCCAGGGATTCCAGCAGCTCTACCATCATGGATACCTGGGCAACCAACTCGTTCTTGTTCTGGCATGCTACTAGAAAGTCGTCTAGGTAGACCAGAACTCTCAGGCCTCGTGAACGAAGGGTTTCTGCTACCCAGTTCGTTACGGTTGAGAAGGCCTGAGGCGCAGCTGAGAGGCCAAAGGGCAAGCTCGTCATCTGCCAAAGTTCTCCTCTGAAGAGCAGGCGTAAGAAGCACCTGTGAGAACTCGCCACTCGGATGTGGAAATACGCCTGAGACATATCGACTCGGATTAGCCAGTCTCCGGGCTGTATAAAATCTGGAACTTTTGCGTGCGAAATTAGATGAAACTCTCTTGTCTCTACATACCTGTTCAGGTTTCTCAAATCGAAGATCGGCCGCCAGCCGCCGTCGCTCTTCTTTACCAGAAACATCTTTGAGACAAAGCTCGGTCCTGGTTCCGAAACTCTTTCTAAGACGCCCTGGCTCGCCAGGGTCTCGATCTGCTTCGCCATCTGTGTCGAGCACTCTGTTTTGTATTGTGGCTCTCGCCAGTTGGTCGATAGAGGCGGTTTCCCTATAAATGGAATGTGGAAATTTGAGATTATGTCTAGAATTACCTGTGGAGCTCCTAGACTTCTCCATACTGCGACGAATTTGGCCAGCTGACCTCCTGTGAACCTGGGCGCTGCCATATAGTCATTTCTCGAATTTTTTTCGAAATGACCCAGAATGTCTAGGTTTTGCTGAGTCTTTCTTTGGAAACCTGGGCTTGAACGAAGTCCTCTGTTGGTCCGGCTTGTTTCCAGAGACCTGGGAAGGTCTTGGCTGATAGTCGGTGCGAAAATTGTCGCGCTTGGAAGTTCTGCTTGAACTCGCGTTACCGTGCCTGCTACTGCTGTGCGAAGGCTCCTTTAGCCATGTCTGGGCACCACCTAAAGACGTAATTAATGTTGATAGGTTCTCCTTGCCAAAGAGGTGTTCCGAGCTAGGCGGAATTCTGCGTAAGGCCCCCTGTACCTGCTTATTAGGTGCCTCTGTTAATATCCTCTCACGTCTTGCCTCGATGCATGAAGCTCTTTTGCCGCAAATGATCTGCAACATCTTCTGGGAATTCTTAAACATTTCGGATTCTGGCCCGAAATTCAAGGAAAACATGCTTAATAATAATTCTGGACTCACTCCTCCCTCAATCGAGCGAGCCCATTCTACAATACCTTGCAGTGTGTTTTGTAAAATGCTGCTCTGTGTTAAAACCGCATTTGACAGGCCTGCCAGGACCCGCTCCGTTGAGAGCACTGGATCTTTAGCCTTATCCAAGTAACAGAGCTCCTCGTTCACCTTTAATTCTGAAAATCCTGGAGACGCTAAGAACTCTTTTAAAGTATTAGAATACCTGATTTCCTTCCAATCTGGAAGACCAAATCTCTGAAGATCGCACAGAGTTTTCAGGCTCTCGGGATCTGCCTGTTGCACTAGCTTCTTCGCATCGACCTCGGTCTTGCATTGTCCTAAGTTCAGGACACTTGTCTGTGGGGCTGTCGCAGGCATGCTCACGACTGGAGGCTCAGGTGCGTTTTGTTTCTGCAACAAAAGATCGGAAAGTAACTCTACCTTCTCATGTAGCGCCCTTATCTCTCTGCTTGTGTCCGAGAAACGACGACGCTTGCGAGGAAGAAGAGGAGGAAGAGAAAGTGCTCTTGAACGCTCTGAGTCACTACTGCCACTACTGTCTTCCTCTCGATGTCGTTTCAGCGTATGACCGCCATTACTGCCGCCGTTCTCTAGCTGTTCCTCTGTATGATCCGACATACTGCTTATCTAGGTATTTGTCACGTTAATAATATTCCGTAGCGATTGCTGCCTACTTTAATCTTCTTTTTATTTAATTTACGCCGAGTTATGATTAAAATTCGGTTCAACTTATTTGGTTTATTCGTAATAACAAAAATGGACGACCTTCGCGGCCGAAAATACTCAACGCTATGACGAGAGACGCGGGCAAGCCCGCGCTTGTAGGTGATCACGGGAGGGGAAGAGCAAGAGGGGAGATGAACTACAGCAAAACTCCAGCAGAGGGCACGTAAGTAGGACGACTTTGGGGCCAATACACAACAGCTTCTCTCATAGGGATGCCGTGTAATCGGCACGGAGGAATGTAATGAAGCTGAGAAGATACAATCATAAGAATAAAATATAGTTCTTCTTTAAAAAGCATGGAATACAGGCAAAAAAAATTAAAATAACTTTTATTTTTTTTCTAACTACGTTTAAAAATGGATGATTAAAAAATAAAAAAAAATTGTTTATTCTATTCACGTTTTTTACTTGGAACTCGTACATAGCAGGAAATTATAGGCTGTGCCTGTAGGGTTAACTGGTTTTCAGATTTCTTTTCATAATTCAAAGTTTTCGTTGTTATTTGGCAAATGTTTAGAAGAATAAGGTAAAAGCCCCAATAGATGATCATGTACCAGTATATGATCACTTCATGTATTTGTACATGTATATTCACAAACATAGGTATACAAATACATGGAGTGATCATATACTGGTACGTGATCATCTATTAGAGCTTTTACCTTAAGTAAAAAAAAAAACAGCTATAATTAAAATAAAAGTTCAAATTGAAAGGAACACTACATTAGAAATTCCAAAGAATTAAGAGAAGTATTGATTAGTAATAAAAGAAAGAAAAAAAATTAGGATCTATCATCAACAATAAAATTTTATAAAAATCAAAAAATTGATAAAAATCATTGAAAATGTTATAATTTCATGTTATCTTTTTAAAAAATGATTTTGAGAAGTTTATAATTTTATATTGATTTGGAAAAAACGTGAACAAATTTTGAGAAAGTTTTCTGATAGGTAGACAATAAAAAAAAATTTCTGCCAAATAACATGAGCTCAGATTCGATATTCGTCGACGTGAAATGCTTCATATGTAAATTGATATTATTTAATTTTTTAAGATTTACATCATTATAAATCATTGAATTTAGTATAATGGCCAGGGAAATATTAACTCATACTATAAGTTATATTTGTAAAATAATTGTCATTATTTTTCTGTTGTATGTGATTGTGTAAATAAATGTATATAACTATTGTTAACTGAAAATTATATTTTAAAAAATTAGTAAAACGGTTGACCCAATATATTATCTCAACGACTTACCGCTTATTTTAAATACAAAGTGTTCTAAATTCCATCAATTATGACGTTTTAGAGCTCTTCGACCTCAATATTATTATTTTTAATTTTATTATTATCATTATATATGCACTGTAGAAAATTAGGAGTGAAATTTTTCCCGCATTCACTCCCATCTATCATCATACCAAAGTAAAGTAATAAAATACTCCGTATACGGAGTAAATTCAGAGTTTTATTCAGCGGAGTGATTTTGGAGTGATTCTGGCATGCATGAGAATTTTGATCCGGAAAACATCTGAGTACAGAGTGCTTAGACAAAAATAACTTTTAATTTTACAGAAACAAATTTATATGTAAAAAATATTTTTTTTGCTCGTATGAAACAAAATTTATTTGAAGAAAAAATTCTTGCCATTCAAAAAAAAATCAAATTTTTGAAAAATTTTTTTGTCGGTACAGAAAAATCGATGGAAAATTCAAATGCAAAAAATTTTTTAATTTTAAAAAACAAAATTCAATTTGAAAAAATTTTCGAAAAAATTATAAGTCCTCAATAAATTTGAAATTTTCCGAAAAGTTCTAACCATAGCATAGAATCCTAATTTTGCAAAAAATTTTAAATTTTCAAAAATTTTAAATCTTTAAAAATATTTTTTTTATCAGTACAGAAAATTAAAAAAAAATGAAATTAACAACAAGATCAAAACTGGAAAAAATCAAAATTAAAAAAGAAAATTTTTATTTAATTTCCGAAATAAAATTTTTGTAATCAGTAAAAAAATTTTTTTTTAATTATTTGAATTACAAAAATTGAAATCTCTAAAAAAAGGGTTTTTTTTATTAATTTGAATGTCAAAAAAATTTTTTATTGATCTGTATAGAAATTTAAAAGAATTTAAATTTCAATAGAAATGAAAAGAAGTTTCATTGATTTTAATTTTAAAAATCTGAAAGGGAAAAATTTAATTGAAAATCATCTTACTCCGCAATTCACTCCTACATTACTCCGAAAATTTTTTATGGAGTATTGCAGTGTTATTTTTTTTTTTTCACATAATTTTAATTAATTTAATTTTTGAAGAATGTTTTTAACAGTTCTAAATAATAATGAAATAATTGCTATTTTATTGAAAAAATTTTTTCTTCAACAATCTATTTATTCTAAATAAAAAAGTATTTACTCTTTATTCGTCTTCATTCCGCCATCTAACAAAAATAATTTCAACTAAATATGTAGTTGTTAAGGTGTACTACACTATACACTAATAATGATAATAATATTGCAAGAATAATTCGTGTTTGATAATATTTATTCACTTATTTATTACATAAAAAACTTAGCGTCTCTCCTTATAATTAGTCAGGTCACAATTGATAATCTAATAATAATAATAATACTGCACAGTCACGCCACAGCTATGGCGTGCAGAAAGGCGGGATTATTTGAATTTGTGTGGGA